ATAAGAACACCCCCCTGCAGGAACACCCCCCGTGGCGCCCACTCACCCCGTCCGTGGTCTTCCTCCGCTTCTTCCTCGTGGGGACCAGGGCCGTGCTGCCGGCCGCCCAGCTCCAGAAGACTTTGTAGTGGTGCACCGGCAGGTCCGGCTCCTCGGGGACGTCCCAGGCCAGGGTGACGGTCACGCTGCCGTCGCTGTTGCTGGTGGAGTTGGCGAGCCGGAGGTTGGCGGGAGCTGGCGGTGGGGATGGATCTGAAATCGCAGGACACAGACGCACCGTGTGACTCGAGTACCGAGCAGGACACAGAATACGAATCTTTGTACGTGTGCTGACCTCGGGGTCAACGCGTGGGGTGCTGTCCTTCCTGTAGGGTGTCCCCCAAAAATGTACTCGCACACTTAGAATAATTATTAAGGCAGTGTTTATTAAAATACACTTCCTTTGCAAAGTTGAGCTATCGGCTGTTAAAGTGTGCATACATTTTGGGGGGGACACCCTGTATGTACACTAGCTGGAAACAAGCGGTAAGATCCCCCCTTTTCAGTCTCAATATACAGGCTCCCAGCAATCAGATCAGTGCATTGGGACAAGTGAGAAACGTCGAAGAATCCGCCTAGACATCTCCCCAGCACTGTCACCAGCCAAACTGTCACTGTCCCCAAGGTCATGAGTGTCTATAAGACACGGTAAAATGCCACGCAGTTGGCTGACATTCAGTAGGTAAGCCGAGGAGAACTGCCTTTGAAAATCCTGCAAAGAGGAAGAACCCAGGTGATGTGTCACTGTTTCATCTTAGTGGCCCTGGGGCTTTCGAACCTCGTGATGCGGTGCAGCACCGACACCAGCACAGACAAACCATTTTTATCCACGTTACGAACCGGACGCCCCACACAGCATCGACTTTCACCGAGCGACGTCGCCGAGTCTGGCCATGCACCCAGAGCCCTCCGCCGTGGGGAGACTCGGTCCCGGAGTCACCACCCTGCAGAGCTCCCTGAGCGTGCGCACGGGCCGAGCGGGCGCGTGGGAAGCCGCAGGGTCTGCCCGCCCGAGCCCCGGGAACGCCGGTAACTCCCACCACAGGACATCGGCGCGGACTCGCCGCTCGCAGCTCGGCCGGGCACACGAGGGGGCGGAAGGGACCGTGCCGGGGGCTCACGCCCAGGATCGCTTGTGTTTGGGAATGACGGAGACATGAATTATTTCCCAAAGTCTCTTGCTTTTCTCCACGATATGGAAGGACTGGAGGTCTGGCTGGTCACTTAGTTTTTAAAAATGAGGACATTTCATAGATGCGGTTTCAGGTAAGGGGCTATTGCAGGCTCATTATACGATAATGCTGATCTACCGACTTTTAAAAACTTACCTTTATTGTTGAGACTATTACAGATGTCCCGATTTCCCCCCAAGGACCCCTCCACCCGCACCTCCCCCAGGCCTTCCCCACACTACTGTGTCCACGGGTCATGCATGTATCCACGTAAGTTCTTTA